CCTTCACACAGGATGACCATCAGGGAAGCCACTCGAGACTGTCCCCATTAAACGGGGAAGCGTTGCTGATGGTCATTTTTGGGGGCCAGGAATATTGATCAACCCGCACATCATGCGACTCATCGTCAGTTCGCCTTGCTGTGACACCTCTGCTGCAGAAGACCAACGTCCGCTGCTTGTTGCGCCATCTGGTGTCTTTTTGGATGTACCTGTGCCCAAATGGTCATGTTCCTGATAGTGTCTCTTTATAACAAACAACCCTGAAAACACGCACACACAGCGGACAAAAGCGGCTCCCTTCAAACACATCGAGCAAGGGCACGCCGCATCGGCCATCAAATACCTGCAGTGCGGAATAGGGTTGATGTCCACACTTGCGTGAAGAAGTGGGACCCTGATATTTAGTGCTTCACATTTGCGCCTGCCAAAGCCACCATGCATGGACCAAGCCACCGGGTCTCGTGATCTTCCGATTTGGTTGCTTCCCGACGTCTGCCATGTCTGGCTGCAATCTACAGTTGGGACAGTGTGACAAGAAAACACTCCAGATAGAAAATGAAGTGGGTGCGGGTCAAAATTAAACCACCAGGGGACCGCCTGTTTTAGTCATGGGTTCCACTTACCAGGGTTCCATTTTAGGTACCCATGTTTGACCCACAGCCAAGTAGGCACCAGGGGCGGACTGGGCTGTCTTTGCTATGCTCAACCGTTGCCTGGCTGAGCAGAACGCATGGCTCTTGTTTTCTCCAATCGTTTAATGATTGCAATGTATTTGGTTGCAGCTCATGGAAAGAAGACGGCTTTTGCATCTCGTAGAAGTACTCACACTATGGCAGTTGGTTGCAATTTGAGTGCAGCTGTTCTGCTTCATGAAAGACAGTGTAAGTGTGGATCTTATAATTCAAGGCTCTTCCTACACGGAACTGTACAAACAACTACGTGGCTGTGGCTCAAAAAACCGGTACCAAAATGGAACCCTGGTAAGTGGAAACATGCACCAAAACCTGCGTAACCCCTCCAGTTTCATTTTGAGCCACAGCCACGTGGCGACTTCTGTGACGTAGACTCACGCAGCACTATCTTGCTCAACCTTGACAGGTGTGTGAGTCTGATTGTTGCAAATGTTGCCAACCAAATTGTAGAGCGACACTGCATCATCGCGACTTGGCTGGGTGTTGCCGTGCTCAGTCATGGCACGAGCGGCCACCTTCAAGGCGACTTGCTTTCCATTCCGAAGTTGATGCTTCATCTCTTCTGTCAGCGGCACCTTCTTTGACCACCAATACCAAGACCAGTGATAGTTGCGCCTGTGCACCTTCTCCATGCCATGGTCATCTAATTCTGCGGGGATGTAGGTCTTGCCACCGTCGATGGAGACATCAACGCGAGCAATGCGATGACCTCCTCCTCCAAGCGCGATACCTCGGACTTCGACGCCATCCGCCAACGCCGAAGCCGCAGAAATGGTCTCATTGGGTTCTGGGACAATGACACTGCTGTGAACAGGCATCTCCATGACGCGGAAGATGGAGTTGTCTTGCCTGACTTCGAATCTTCCAGCCCTCTTGACTTCACCTCCTGTGAGGACGGTCTTTGCAATGTGGTCTTCGAAGTTCATGTTTGGTGGGTAGATCACTTCATCTGTATGGGTGTCCACGTGGCTCTCATGCAGCCCATCGCTGAGCTCCATCTTCGCCAACCACTTGCAGTTTCGGACTCCAGCGAAGCCGGGTACCAAGACACGCACTGGATAGCCGTGGTCAGGGGTCAGAATCTCGCCGTTCATGGTCTGTGCAAGGATGACATCACCAAAAGGATCAATGGCCTTTTCCAAGGGAATGGTTACTCCAAAGTTGGAGCCGGTCTCATCCATGTCATGGCCCGTCAGTCGCAAATACTTTGCAGGCAACGGTTGCGCTCCCAAGGCAATGGAATCCACATCTACACCACAGGCACGAAGCACATCACGAACTTTCACACCAGTCCAAACAGCGTGGCTGCCCCAAAAGTTGTTGTTGATTTCGTTCCTAGGAAACTCCACCTCCTCCCAATTGTCCCGATTGTCCGTGCGATGCAAGTAACGAGGATACTTTGCAGCTCCACCACAAATCATAGTGCTTTCTACAGTGGCTTGAGGTAGCTTCCTCAGATCTTGCAGCTTGAACACCCGGCTCTTAGAGCCGGGTGTGTTGACTTCGAACTCGTAGTCCTCCTCGACATTATCCCAAGTTGGAACTGGGAAGTGATTTCTCACATAGAAACCGCGAATTGGAGTGTAGAAGGATTCCAGAAGGTATTTTCCCATCAAGTTTGCCCATCGAGGTGCACTTGCAATGGTTTCTTGCAAGTCTCGCTCCGGCTCGTCCGCGTAGGGATTTGAAAAGATGGTCTCCTCGTAGGATTTCTTTCCATCAGACTTGCTCAGGCGTCCGATGAGGCAATTGCGATCCAAAAAATGACTTACATCTGGATGGACGTGGTAGACCTTGGTTGCTTTCTGCTTCCCTGCTAAAAGTGTTTAACTTTTAGTGGTTTAATGGAAAACCCATTGGTTGGCAAAAAGTTAAAGTCCTAACATCCAAGCAAAATGCACCAAAGAGACGTCCATGTATTTTTGGAGGTCGGTGCCCGCCATCATCATGATTCGACCTGGGCCTCCTGGGTGGATCTTAGCGAAGTTCGTAACGTCGTAGACGTGGCCCTTGAAAGAGATCCAAAGTCCATCGTCCATATTGTTGTGAGCCCTAAGCTCATCTAGGCCTATGATGCGCAGGTCCTTATCCTGTGGGACTTCTCCATCTGTCTTCACAGGGGCTCCGAATGTTCCACGGCTCGTTGTCTTGCAATCAATCTGCTTACAGAGACCTCCGCCTGCCAGCAGCCCTCCTGCCATCAGAAGCAGAGCATGTTCATGTCTTGAGCTGCTCTTCTTGATAAATAGCTGAGCACGCTGCAAAGCCGGAGCGAAGCGAGCCAAAGGCCTTGAAAACATGGCCGATCTCTCACGCAATATTGGATCTCGACACTGCACTGTGATTGTCAGATAGCTTGAGCACAAATAGCTTGAGCAGAACGCATGGCTCTAGTACTCATCTGATGCACAGCCAAACAGAAGGGTACCCTAAAGGACATGCAAAAAATTGGTGAGTCCTCAGGTCTTTGTGGGACATTTATTGTTTTCTCGGGAGGGGGGGGAAAAAAAAAAAAAAAAACGTCCCCGGGTGGTTGGGGGACATGGTGTGATCCCTGGATGTTTTTGTTTTGTTTACACTGAGCTGCCGGCGGATCAGGCTTCGCAGAGCTCTCTGCTTCCTGGCCACAGTTCGTCAAGCCTTCTACCTCCTGCCGAGTTCACTCGCCAAGAAACATTGAAGTCATAATCAAAGCCTGGGACTAAACTGGTGCAGAACCATGGCAAAGAAGCATCCATGTTGGTTGAGATTATCGCTTACTAACCTTTATCTACCCGAGTTTTGATTCTGGCCCATTTAAACTCTTGAGTTGTGCCTGGTTGGCTTTTTGGTTGGTTGATTGGTTGGTTGGTTGGTTTGTTCCTTCCTTCCTTCCTTCCTTCCTTCCTTCCTTCCTTCCTTCCTTCCTTCCTTCCTTCCTTCCTTCCTTCCTTCCTTCCTTCCTTCCTTCCTTCCTCGTTTCATTGGCTTGGTGATTTGTTGCCCCGTTGGTTCGCTGGCCCCTATGATGAAGCCTACCAACAACACGTTTTGCCAACGCGCCAGGTACACCTTCTTCAGACACGACTCTTGCAGAACGCTTAAGAAAGGTCTGGAGCTATAGGTGTTTCTCAAAGCGGATTTCGGACCACCTGGTGGTTGGTATTTCGAGAGAAGCCAAAGGGAAATCGTTGCGATCTGAGGCTGCCCTTTTTTTCAATTTTTTAGAAACACCCACAGGGGCCAAAAAACACCGTTTTGCAGGCTCGCCGCTGCGCACTGCCCCGACTTTTCTTGCCCGAAGCGGCCCGGTCGAGTTCTCACTTCCAAAAAGGCCTTGGTGTCGCTGCAACTCTCGATTGAAACGAACTGGCAGGGAGGCAGCTGGGATTCACAGGCAGCCAAGACCCAATCAAGGAGCACACACACACACACACACACACACACACACACTTGTCCCGCATCCCTTGTAATCTCTTCTGGGCAAGGGAGACAAAAGTCGCAGGGGCAACCTCATCTATCTGTGAGGGTTGGCCCAATTGGTAACTTTAACACCACCCTTCAACAGAGCGGGGTCCGTTTTAGTAAGACATCCTCACTAAACGGTGGCCTAAAGGGGCTTTCCACCGAAACCACTAAAAGCAATTGTGAGTTGGGACCTCTCTCCCAATGTGGCCACGTTTGTTGGACTCCAGATGCTCTGGCCGCGGTTCCCTAAAAAAAGCTGAGTCGGAAATCCGGGCGCCATGCTGGGTGGCGCGCACCAATCAGGATCCACGCCCACACCTTCGCGCAGCGTAGGCCCTGGGGCCCAACGTCAAGGACTACACTCTTCAAGGGGAAGCGGGCCCTCTCGCCAGTAGGCTGGCTGTGAGATTTTCAGACTTTTGGAACGGGACCCTTTGGAACCGAGGCAACCTTTCGACAAGCAGGGGAGAAGATTACTGTCTAGAGGAACTGAATCACCAACCTTATGGAAAGGGAGCCTTTGGACATCAGAAACTGCTTGGATGTACGTCCAACCATTTTGGACGGCCGCTGCAAAAAATGGCCAACCCCTCCAAAGACATGTCCGCTTCCCTCGCAATGGAACTCGCAAGAGAGGGATTCCCATCCCCATGCATTCCACTTTCTCGCATTCGGGGTGGGAGCTTGGTATCCCAACAAAATGGCAACATGCCACCTCAAGGGTTGGAAGTCACGTGAGCTACGCCGCTCTTCAAGGAAGGGGCCCCTGAGGCCAAGACAACAAAGGGAAGCACCGCAATCGCTTCCCTGGCCCCCAACGCTCTTTTTGAAGCGAATCAAATTCGGAATCCGCAGTGCGCATCACGCGTGGCTCTTGGCATGCTCGCAAGCTCGGCACCTTAGTCGAAGCACTGAACCGTGACTAAGACTCCTTTTGTAGGCGATGGTCATGGCTCTCTAGGGCGTTTGCACGCCGAAGCTTTGTTGAACCCCCATCCTCCGTTACAGAAGATACGTAAGTGGTTGTCAAAGTCGCCTCGCATGATGCTTGAGTTACAACCATACCCAAGAAACCACAACTGTTCATGCCTGTGAGCAATGCTAAGCCACCAACTTGACAAGCTGCATGCCAGTCTCTGCATTGGCGCACACTTCCGAGCAATCAATCGCTGAGTCGCAGCCTGAGAGCGGGCCACTACCAGAAAAAAACTGTGGTGTCTGTGTGTGTGGGTGTGTGCGTGTGCGCGCAGCTGCGTTTGCAATTGCGTCTGTGCTTCCGTCTGCGTTTGCGACTGCGTCTGCTTCCGCGTCTGCGTCTGCAACAGCGCGTGCGTCTGCGTCTGCGACTGCGTCTGCGACTGCGTCGACTGTGTCTGCGTCTGCGACGTGTTTGCGTCTGCATCTGTCTGCGTCTGCGACTGCGACGTGTCTGTGTCTGCGTCTGCGTCTGGTTCTGCGTCTGCATCTGCGTCTGCTTTGCGTTCGCGATGGCATGCGCGTTTACCTTTGGGTTTGGGTCGTGTGTGTGTGTGCTTTTGTGTTTGTGGGTGTGTCTGTGCGATTGAGCGGTTGTGTGGTTGTGTGCTGCGCATTGCGTGGTGTGTGGTGTGTGGTGCGCGGTGCGTGGTGTGTGGTGTGTGTGTGTGTGTGGTGTGTGTGTGTGTGTGTTGCGTGTTGCGCCTTGTGTGAGCGCTTGTGCTTGTGCTCGTGTTTGTGTCTGTGTGTCTGTGTGTCTGTTTGCGCGCGCGCGTGCGTGCGTGCGTAGGTGGGCGCGCGCGCGCGCGTGCGTGCGTGCGTGGGTGAGTATGTGCGTGTGGTGTGTGACTGTGTGTGTGTGTGACTGTGTGACTGTGTGTGTGTGTGTGTGTGTGTGTCTGTGTGTCTGTGTGTCTGCGTGTCTGTGTGTCTGCGCGTCTGTGTGTCTGTGTGTCTGTGTGTCTGTGTGTCTGTGTGTCTGTGTGTCTGTGTGTCTGTTTGTCTGTGTATGTGGGTGTGTGGGCGTGCGGGCGCTACCGCGTGCGAGCGTGCTTGCGGGCGGGCGTGCGGGCGTGCGGGCGGGCGCGGGCGCGCGTGCAGGCGTGCGAGCGCGCAGGCATGCAGGGCGCGCGGGGCGGGCAGGTTGGCGCGTTGGCGCGTTGGCGTGTTGGCGTGTTGGCGTGTTGCCGCGTTGGCGTGTTGGCGTGTTGGCGTGTTGGCGTGTTTGCGCGTTGGCGTGTTGGCGTGTGGGCGTCTTGGCGCGTTGGCGTGTTGGCGTGTTGGCGTGTTGGCGTGTTTGCGTGTTTGTGTGCTTCGGTGTGTGTGTGTGTGCTTGTGTGCTTGCGTGCTTGTGTGCTTGTGCGCTTGTGTGTTTGTGTGCTTGCGCGCTTGTGTGCTTGTGTGCTTGTGTGCTTGTGCGTTTGTGTGTTTGTGTGTTTGTGTGTTTGTGTGTTTGTGTTTGTGCGTTTGTGTGTTTGTGTGTGTGCGTGTGTTTGTTTGCTTGTGTGTTTGTGTGTTTGTGGGTTTGTGTGCTTGTGGGTTTGTGGGTTTGTGGGTGTGTGGGTTTGTATGTTTGTGGTCTTGTGTGTTTGTGTGTTTGTGTGTTTGTGTGTTTGTGTGTTTGTGTTTGTGTTTGTGTGTTTGAGTGGTTGTGCGTTTGTGTGGTTGTGTGTGTTTGTGTCTTTGTGTGTTTGTGTGCTTGTGTGTTTGTGTGTTTGTGTGTGTGCGTGTTTGTGTGCTTGTGTGTTTGTGTGTTTGTGCGTTTGTGCGTGTTTGTGCGTTTGTGTGTGTGTTTGTGTGCTTGTATGTTTGTGTGCTTGCGTGTTTGCGTGGTTGCGCGTTTGTGTGTTTGTGTGTATGTGTTTGTGTGTTTGCGTGCTTGCGTGTTTGTGTTTGTGTGTGTGTGTGTTTGTGTGTTTGTGTGTTTGTGTGTTTGTGTTTTTGTGTTTTTCTGTGTTTGTGTGTTTGTGTGTTTGTGTGTTTGTGTGTTTGTGTGTTTGTGTTTAACCCTTTGACCCAAGCACTTGTGCTCTTTTCTGCAATGATGTGATACACAGTGGCCCAGCTGGCCAGGGGCAACCCCTTTCCTAACAAGTTGAGCTGGACAAGCTCTGAGATGCAGGATGCATTGGGACAAGCTCTGAGATGCAAGATACATTGGGATCAGCAGGGTTCGATGCTTGCCAGCTGATGCAGTCAAGGCAGCTCTTGTGTGTTTGTGTGTGTGTGGGTTTGTGGGTATGTTTGTATGTACGCACTCTCAGGCCTGAAGGCAATGTGCAACCCATTCTCACAAAATAATAAGACAAATAGAATAAAAATAACATTGAAGCCAAGGTAGCAGTAGACTCGTAGGTCTGCAACACCCATGCTGTCCGCTGCATCCTGACACGGCCGCTGAACACCCAGTGATTTGCGGCAAGCTAACAACTGCTCAGTGCATGGCTGAAATGACCTCAACCTCACCTCTTGGTGTCCTGTATTTGGTGGGGAAAACCCCAAAAATACATTTCGGTGTTCCTTTCAGTTTCCCACACCATCCCCAAAACGGGAACCGAGCGTCAACAAAACACACTCAAAGGGTACGAAATCCATCACACACACACACACACACACACATACCAAGATGGCTGTGGGGTCACTTTCTAGTGCAAGCTTCCCCATTCTTTCCAGGAATCCTTCTTTTCAGGAAACCCTCAAAAAAGCAGAAAAGACAGCCGAGTGTTGAAAAGAAGATGATGGACAAGAATGGTTGGACTCAACCCCCAGACCCCTGAAATAAGAACCCCCCCCCCCGCCAGGAAAGGAACTTGTATCAGTGAGACCTAGCTCCAAGACCCTAGACCCCCTTGACCCTAGACATCCTAGACCCTAGACCCCTAGACCCCTAGACCCTAGACCCTAGACCCCTAGACCTAAACCCTAGATATCCTAGACCCTAGACCCCTAGACCCCCTTGACCCTAGACATCCTAGACCCTAGACCCCTAGACCCCCTAGACCCCTAGACCCCCTTGACCCTAGACATCCTAGACCCTAGACCCCTAGACCCCCTGACCCTAGACATCCTAGACCCTAGACCCCTAGACCCCCTAGACCCTAGACCCCCTAGACCCTAGACATCCTGACCCTAGACATCCTAGACCCTAGACCCCTAGACCCTAGACATCCTAGACCCTAGACCCCTAGACCCCCTTGACCCCAGACATCCTAGACCCTAGACCCCTAGACCCCCTTGACCCTAGACATCCTAGACCCTAGACCCCTACACCCCCTTGACCCTAGACATCCTAGACCCTAGACCCCTAGACCCCCTAGACCCTAGACATCCTAGACCCTAGACCCCTAGACCCCCTAGACCCTAGACATCCTAGACCCTAGACCCCTAGACCCCCTAAACCCTAGACATCCTAGACCCTAGACCCCTAGACCCCCTTGACCCTAGACATCCTAGACCCTAGACCCCCAGACCCCCTAGACCCTAGACATCCTAGACCCTAGACCCCTAGACCCCCTTGACCCTAGACATCCTAGACCCTAGACCCCTAGACCCCCTAGACCCTAGACATCCTGACCCTAGACATCCTAGACCCTAGACCCTAGACCCCTAAACCCTAGACATCCTAGACCCTAGACCCCTAGACCCCCTTGACCCCAGACATCCTAGACCCTAGACCCCTAGACCCCCTTGACCCTAGACATCCTAGACCCTAGATCCCTACACCCCCTTGACCCTAGACATCCTAGACCCTAGACCCCTAGACCCCCTAGACCCTAGACATCCTAGACTCTAGACCCCTAGACCCCTAAACCCTAGACATCCTAGACCCTAGACCCCTAGACCCCTAGACCCCCTAAACCCTAGACATCCTAGACCCTAGACCCCTAGACATCCTCGACTCCATCCGCCCTTTTCCCCCGCCTTTACCACGTTGGCCTGTGCCCCGCACACGGCCGCGCCGGGCTCGCAACGTAGCTCTCTGGACCAGGCCACCTGACTCGGTGCCCCAGAGGGCGCTCCCGGCTAGGGAACCGGAGGGAGCCGCGCAAACATGGCCGCATCGGCTTCCAAGTGGCTTGAAACCGCGTTTAATACCCACCCAAAAGGGGGGCCCGAAAAACCACATCCAAGCAGGGTCCTCCAACCAAATTCGGGAGGCAGCGTTACCCCCTATTTTGGTCAAAAATAAATCAGGTGAATTTGGTGCTGCTGCTAAGCCAGTGTTGGAAGCTGCGTCTCCAAGATACCCCCGCCTCCCACCCCCACCCCACCCCCCAACAAGGCGGGGATGAATGAGAGACTGGACCCGCGGAACGCTCAGAGCCCAATGGAGCCAAAATGAATTTGAGGGTGGTACACCAAGTGGTTCTTGTCCAGTGTGAGCAGAGGCCAAACCCCGCATGCAATCTCCAAAAATTGCTGTTACCGCACTGAACATGGAAAATTTAGAGTGTTCCCTTGATTTTGGGGGGAAATTTGGCGTCCGTGCCCATAGACCGCCCTAATCGTGACTGAAGCCCATATGGCCGTGGCCTCAAAAAGAATGGAGACTAAAATGCCACCTTGGTAAATGGAACCAGACAAAAAAATTGAAGTTTGCCTCCAGCTCTTTTAGCTTTGAGCCACACACCCAACGGGAAAAGAGTGTCCTTGTCACAAAAGAGTCCAAAAAAGGCGGGGCCCCTTGTTGAACAACCTTCACATGGGGCCTAAATCGCACCCAACGCCTGGCTGCACTGCTTTCCAATTTGGTGAGGGCGAGCTGAACAACCCCCAAGAGCAATGGTTCTAGAAAACGGCTTGGATGCGCTCTTTGTGGATTTCACCTCTTCTTCTTTGTCCAGGTTCTTTTTCAAGTACTCTTTTCGTGCTTTCTCTCCTACAGGGGCTTTTGTTCCACGGATTCGCCACATCCAAGCCCGTTTGCCAGAATGGCGACCTGCTCTTCGCGGGCTGAAGCAAACATATGCTCCGTCAAAACCGAGTCTTCGGCTGGGTCCAGAGTCTGTGCCAAGACCCGAGGGGCTCTGTTGTTTGACTACCCCACGGTGGACTCAAAGCCAGTGGTTCTTAATCTGCCTCGAGATAACTTCCAGTTGCTTAAGCCCCCGGGGAAAAAATAGAGAAACAGTAGTGATAGATGCCCTTTTAAACCGACAAGGGACAATAAAAGTATTATTGAGCAAATGGAAGAGCAGAACCTGGAATGTGCAAAGCTTGGGGCCTCGTAGCTGAAACTCCCCGAGAAGCTCAGCTTGGACACCTCGCTGAGATCCGACCTTCCTCGGAATCGCCAAAGGACCAAAGGGACCAAAGGGACCTGTGCTGAGTCCTGGACGGCAGCTGAATTCCAGGCCCATGATGCCAGCATTGTCCAAGCCTCTCCTGTGACCCAAAGAACTCCGGGCACGGAACAAAACAAACCTCCTCATTCAAAACTTGCTGGTGCGATAGGCAGGCACTGTGGGAATGACCCGAAGAAAAAGACCATCCTACCGGTGGCTTCCTTTATTCGGGAATCCCCTTCCGGCTCATTCCCACCGATGTCGCGCCAGCAAGAAGAGCAAAGAAGGCCATCCGACCTGGAAGAGCGGCCTTGCGAACGGAAGCCGTACACGGCTTGACCTGGCCATCGCGAGCCCGGTCAAGCAAGACGAATCACGTGCCGTGCTTGTCCACGAGGACATGGGATTGGGGGTGGTCCGCATCCCAGTTTTTGGGGCTACAACCAGCAACTTTTGTTCGTTGCTCACCGGACACACGCCTTCCGGGCACTGGGTCCAGTTGGACCAGTCTCCGTCAGGACCTTCCGCGGTGCTGACCTGGAAGCGGTTTCTGGCGCCAGCACTGGGCTGGGTCTGGGGATCCACCAAGCCTTCCAAACCCTTCCAAAGCCTTGCAAGGTTGGGGGTGGGGGGTTGGGGGGGTGGGGGGTTGGGGGTGGGGGGGGGGTTGGGGGTGGGGTGGGGGGTTGGGGGTTGGGGGAGGGTTGGGGGTGGGGTGGGGGGTGGGGGCCAAGAGTTGCTCCCCTCACCACGAGGAGTTGATGGGCAGAGACTCCATAGCGATGAGTGATCCTTGCATGGTTCGCCTCATGGCATGCTTTGAACAAGCCGTGAAGTTTGAGGATTTCCACCAAAAAGGGATTCACAGTGGAGATGTCCCACAAAATGGACATGGAGCCTTGGCCGAAAGGCAGGTTATAGCCCAACAGATCAGGTTGGGCACCGACCCCCCCCTATCCAGGCCCCTGCAAGCTGCTCCTTCAATCTAAAGCCCAAGGGCGGCCCAAAGGCGAAACACTGAGGCTGCTTGAACAGTGGTCCCTGCATAATAAAACAAATGGCTGTCAAAATAATCTCTCTTTCCCTCCTTCCCTCTTTCTCTCTTTTCCTCCCTCTCTCTTTCTCTCTTTCTCACCTCTAATTCTCTCTCTCTCTCTCTCGCTCTCTCTCTCTCTCTCTCTCTCTCTCTTCCGGTGCGATAGGGAAGTGATCGCCTGGCCATGCGGGACCTTGGCTTCTGACTCTGATTCCTTTCCTTTCCTTCCTTCTTTCCTTCCTTTCTTTCTGGATGTCGGTATTTTTGTCATTTTTGTTCTTTCTTTCTTTCTTTCTTTCTTTCTTTCTTTCTTTCTTTCTTTCTTTCCTTCCTTCTTTCTTTCTTTCTTTCTTTCTTTTTTCTTCCTTCCTTCCTTCCTTCCTTCCTTCCTTCCTTCCTTCTTTCTTGTTTTCTTTCTGTTCTTTCTCTGCTAGATTTTAGTTTACGTCTGTTCTTGTTTATTTGCGTTGTGTCTTTTCATTCTGGTCTGTCTTTCCTTCTCATTCTGTCTTCTTCTTCTTCTTCTTCTTCTTCTTCTTCTTCTTCTTCTTCTTCTTCTTCTTCTTCTTCTTCTTCCTTCCTTCTTTTGTTCTTTTCCCCCTTGCTGTCTGTCTATCTCTCCCTCTCTCTCTCTCAGCCGCTAATTGTCGCGCTCAGTCTCTCTTCACGGTGCCTCGCTGCCGTCACTGCACCGGAACTTCAGGGCGTTGACGCCGCTGTCGTCCGCGGCCGCCAGCTGGGCCTGCCAGGACAAGCGGAGCCGGAGCCGGCGCCAACTTGGCAAACTGGCTGAGAGCGGTAGTCATCACAGAAGTGTGGAGGTCAATTGGACATGAACCGGACATAGTAAAAGCATGGATAGATATACAATCATCATGTGTCCTGCTTTAAAAGAAAAAAACGACCAATGAAAATGCTGTTTCAAAAATCAACTAGCTTGCTAGCATGGTGTGCACTTTGAGATAGTTCCTCACCCTCCTTGAGCTGGCGCATCCTGGTTGTGGGACATCCATGTTAAATATCCGTTCGGGCCAGGGTTTGGGGACGTGCTTTTCTGGGTTCCATGTTAATGTGAAGAGGAGCACATCTGTCAAGCATGGATCGCCTTGCTAAACTGGTCTTTCCAAACAAAAATTGAATGGAGCCAACAAAAAAGAACAAAAAAGCAACAAACAAAAGCACTATATTCATGTCTCAAGAGCAGTGAAGTTTGCAAAACTTGGCTCATGCGCCTGCATCTTCTTGATCTGCACGCCAGTCACCTAGGCTGCATGTGGGTGTATCTGTACTTTTTGTGAGGGAACCCTCTTTTGGCCGGGACGTTCACGGAATGCCAAAACAACTTTTGGCTCCCATTTGAGCGTCGCTTTGAGGGCACCCAGTTTTGGGGGAGGGATGTCGGGGGTGCTCCTGATTTTCAGACTTCTTTCGCAGGCTTTCCCGGAAGCCAAAGGAAAAAGAGCTGTTTTCAGACGCGCCCTTGTGTTGCTGCGCACTCAAGTGCCATGGCAACATGGCTGGGCGCCCAGCAAAGCTGTGCCCTGGGCAAGTTGCGCCAGCACCCCAGTAGCCCAAGCCTGCGTACTGTCGCAGAGTCGGCTACTCTCTCCAAAAAAGATGGAAGTGCGCAGGATCCCTTTCAACGAAACGAACCTTCCGAATCGGCTTCCATGTCTCTGAGGTGCACGCCTTTCATGTTCTCGGCCGACATCATAGATGCCACATCTGTGCGGGCAATTGTGCCCAGATCATAGCCTCAGCCAGCTGCACACAGCCGCTGAAAAAACTGGCCAAGCGCTTCGATCGCGCCTGTGCGCGCCAGACGGAAGAACTCCTCCCTTGTCATGAAAACGCTTTCTGACCTCGGTGGCGGAAATTGCGCAAAAGGGACCGTGTGGGTGCCTCTTCTGTAGAGGCCCCCCACAAAAAGCGTTCCTCGTGTTATCCTGTAACCCCCCCCCAAACAAAAAGAAGAAAAAAACTGTCTGGTGGATCTACATACTCCAAGTACCGGGCTGGTGGTATCTTTGCCAAAGCCTCTCAATCTCGTCCTTCTTCTTCTGCTGCCTCAAAGGCTCAGAACAAAGTAGAACCACAGGCTGAATTCAGGGAAGGGCCTTCCACCCAACTCCACACTGAACTCTTCCTCCGAGACGACGCCGTCTTTGTTGATGTCTGCCCTGTCCCACTCCTGCCAGCGGACGAAGGTTGCGAGCACCTGTGGGAGCTTCTGAAAAATGGGGTCGGACCCCCAGGGAAGCAAGGAAACCAGCCAATCCTTGGGACCCCCCCGAAAAAGCGGCCCAATACAAGGCCAAATAAGGCCAAACGAGGAATTCGGACAAAGATAAGGCAAGGTTAAGGCCAAAGACAGCCTTAACAGTTGGGGTCTTTCAGGTGTTCAGGTAGGGTCCCTGAAACCCAGGCAGAGCCCTGCTGCCGTGAAAACTGTCTCTTGGGTATGACCCTGGCAAAGTCCTCACGAACGGAAATCCTCATAGCTCTCGCAACACTCGTCGAAGACCATGTTGGTAGTGTCTCCAATGGGTGTGTCTCGGTTGAGGGAACCCTTATTGAAATCAAAGGAAAACCACCCCTATTTTGGAAAGTGCCTTGTTTAGAGACAAACTCAAAATTCGGGAAAAGTCCCACAATTGTATTTTATATAAATACGTGTGTGTATATATATATATATATATATGTGCGGTTGCAACCAACTAACCAACCAACCAACCAACCAACAAAAGGGGGTCCCCTCGGAAAAGAAAACAAAACAAAAAGCAAAAAAACACGAGAGACGCGCCCATGCCCTTGCATCCCCTCAGGCCGGCCTCGTCCAGGCGCTTCTCCGTTGCGCGGTGCTGGTCCAGATTCGCCTCGGCGAATCTGGCGCTACTTCCAAGGAGCAACAGGCGAAGTAACTTCTTGGCTGCTTTCTCCATAATCTTGGTCGCCCAGTTTGGACACAAGGGACACCTTGGCTCTGGTGTCAAAAGGGAAACAAGATCAACAAAACATAGCAAACTAGTGAGAACCGACTTCTAGGGGTAGCCTCACCCATTCTTGCCAGGGATCCGAATCTGTTCCGGAAACCTCGAAAACCCAGGTGAAACAGCCGGTTTTTGAAAGGAACGATGGTTGAAAAGAACGGGGAATAACTAACTTCTTGGTTGCTTTCTGCTCCCCTGCTAACAGTTTTTCACTTTTAGTGGTTTGATGCAAAACACATTTGTTGGCAAAAAGTTATTCAGTCCTATAAGGACCTAACTTTTCAGAATGGGACTCAGTTTTCGTCATGACAAAAGGGTAAACGAGTAGGAATTATGGAGCCCCTTGATTCGTGCGCTTCTTGCAAAGCCCCAGGAAAGCAGTGGGTCCTCCAGTGTAAGACCTTTTGTGGCTCGTCCCCCGTGTCCTGAACCCCATAAATACGACATGTCGATTAACACGATAGTCGCTCAGAAATTCCGTGCACCTCATAACAAGCCCTTTGAAGTTTCAAAAGGCCCGTTGAAGTATCAAGAGTTCATATTTTGAGGGTCCAATTTCCATCAGGCTAATGAATCTCAATAAGCAACCCACCTAAAAAGTCGTTTGGACACAAAGGCCCGGGTCCGGGGATCCAGTGCATTTCACGCCCATCAGGAGCCGCCACGTGCCATTCACAAAGGCGCGGCGGCTTCTTTCCCCCCCAATACTCCACCAATGCGGCCCTGTGGCTCTTTGCCCGAGGTACCTCCGGGCTTTTCCGGCCGGATTCGCCGCTCGCTGAATATTTCTTCAATGCTTGGCACCGACCGCAATCCCCAGGCTGATGTCCCAAGAGCTGATTAAGTTGCATGCCCAGGGCATGAGTTTTAAGGAAAGTCCATGTTGAGGGGTTGAGGGCTGCATGCACGAGACAAACCCAAATGAATCATCTAAGTTGAATAGATCCTTTGGTGCCGGAGACATGGCATTTCCGGCAAGCGCTCCATTCAACAGAGTGAGCCACAATCAGTGAAAAACAAACCATTGAAGGAGTCCTCCCACAACCTGTAAAGAATCACAAGGGTTTTTGGTTTTGCCGTTTACCCGGGAAGTGTGCACAATTCTAGGCTTCATCTACCCACATTGGATATTCTCCAAGTAATGCGTTGCTTAAACGCGTTATTCAACATGGGGGTGATTGCGAATCCCAATCCGCAATTCACAGGGGGACCCCACAACAATACAAGGGAAACCACCATTGGCCTTTGGACCAGCAAGCCCCTATGCTAAGTAACCCTTCGCCATGTTGCATTTGATTTTTCATGGGTGGCAAGCCCTGGTTACCTTGCATTTACCTGGCATTAGGATTGGTTCTTCTGCCTACGCCTCCCAGTTTCTTTCGGCTCATGCGGGTTTTCAAGGGCCCCTGAGGAATTGGTCGGGTGTCCGCTTTGCAGAGCCCGGGGTCTGAGGGTCATGAAGCTGTGTTTCTTTTCGAGGGTACCTGTTTTGGGGCTGCTTTAAAGGGATGCCAGGGAAGGCCAAAGATAACCAAAGAGAACACTGGGGGGGCTGTTTTAAAAAGACCCGTACCAGCGTGCCTGGCAACGTATCCAGGGACCTCGTCCACCGGGTCAACAGCCTGAGAGGTCTGGGGTTTCCACTCCTCTATGTTGAACACAGTGGCTGTGTGGGTTGCTCCGAGCCCCCGAGGAAAGGTCGAAATCTAGCCTTTTGGCCATGGAAAAAACGGTATATATGTTTTCCAAAAGGCCAAAGACACCATGTTGGCACAGTATCTGGCCCCGGGTTGTTTCTTGCCGACGAACCTGTGTTACCCCACATACCAAGGTTCTAGGCCTAGGTTGAACACTCAAGTGGGACTTTGGGATTCCACAGGAAGAATCGCATTGAAGAACTTTCACCAGCATGATTCAATTGCTTCAAATTCCAGCCCCCCCCACTTCCCACACTCCTCCCTGGCAGGTGGTGCATTCCAGTACTCAATTGGCCTGAGAATGGGCTTCGGCTTGCCGTTTGCCAATCCGCTTTCAACTAGCCTTTGGAGCCCGGCGGTTTGGACGCTAAAAAGGAACCTGGGCGCAAATCCCCAAACCAATCCAAGCCACCAAGTAAGGGTGACCGGAACCAACCTAAAAAGAGCACCCTCCCAGAAAGAAAAAAAGAGAAAAAACACACTTGAAAACCTACAAGTCTTTCACTCCCTCGACCACGCCTCCATCTCAGCGGCAAGGCGGTCCTCAGGGCGAGCCCCACTGGGCCCATCAGGGCTCCCTGCATGTCCAACCTAAAACATCGCCACCTGAAGGCAGCTCACCGTCAACTTTCCAACAGTTGAACCACCAGAAATACATAGAAAACCCGGAAAAAAGAAAGAAGAAGAAGAAAACAAAACAACGAACATGGACACCGTTGAAGCAACTCCTAAACGTGTGTCCTTGAGCCACAGCCTCCCAAAAAGGGCTCACGGGAAACGGAGTGAGTCCTGGCGTTGTTGGTTGACATTCCGTGGCTCGTCCCCCTTGTGACCGTGTTTGACACGAGGTAGGATTTTTAACTGGACTGTCCCCTTCTAAAACGTTTACCTTGCGGGTTGCATGGCAACCCCCACTAAACCCCAAAAACCTAACACCCCAAGGGGACAGCTGGGACGCCAAGTTCACTGCGGGCCCTTAAGGTGGGCTCGCCCCTTCCCACTGGGGCAGTTCCCACAACTCAGCGCCAATATTTTGACCCGAAACCTCGACATGTTGAGGAAGCACCCGATCGACAAATGATATCAAGAACCTCAATGGGCGATACGCCAAAGTGAGCGGCCCGTAAAACGCGGGCCGCTCACCCACACTGGGTTCCAACAGACCTCTGCGTTTTTCCTCGGGTTGGGGTACCCTATAGGACCCACCCTGGAAGCCAGAAGGTCCAATGGCCTTAGGCAGCAGAGCTCCAAGCATCCAACCAAAAAACTTCACCCCTGGGGAAACTCACCAAAAAGGTTGCCCTTCGGCGATGTGTCTCAAACCACAAAGAGGGAAATCAAAGGACCCCTTTTTCCAACTCACATATGGTGCCCTTAGGTGATGTGGTGATGTTTCCCAAACCACCAAGAGAGGGACCCCCCACCCCCACCCCCCACCCACCCACCCACCCACCCACCCCCCCCCCCCACCCCGTTTTGCCATGGGATACGAGTCGAGCAGACGCCTCGCCTGCGGCGCCATCAGCGGGTAGTTCTGCGCCGGATCCTCCAGCTGGCGCTTCAAGCCGCCAAGCACCTGATTTTTTTGGCGGCCGGCCACTTGGAAACCCGAAAAGCCTGACTCCACGGCAGCGCAAACAAAGAAATCAACAAATATTCGCTCTCTTTTGGGGTGGGGATTCAAGAAACCTGTTCATTTGGAGACAAGACACCTGTTTTCATCGGTGTCCTTTTTAGGCGAAATAGATGGGTGTCGCTGGTAGATGACTAAACCACCAGGCAGGGCCATCTATTTTTGGAAAAAGGACACCTATGCCTGTTTTCGTTGGGCTGCTCAACAAATTAGTTTTGGCGAAGAGGGAGATTCCCCCCCCCCCGTTCCCGGCGAGCAGCAGGAGGCCCACGCGGGGGCCGCAGACGGTCAGGCTTGGCGATGAGGCGGCGCTTGTCCTCGTCAGGTCGAACTTGGAGTTACTTCCATTTGCTTTTTCGCTCCCTTAAAAAAAACTAGACGACGAGTGGCCCGGAAGCATAGAGGCAAGTTGATGCAGGTGAGGTAACTCTCGCAAAGTTAGCATGAGGAGTTGGCAGGCGAAGCAATTCTCAAAAAGTTGGCATGAGAAGCTGGCAGGTTAAGTAACTCTCGAATAGTTGGCTGGCAAAGTTGGCGGGTGAAGTAATTCTCGCAAAGTTGACATGAGAAGTTGGCAGGCGAAGTAACTCAAGAGAAAAGTTGGCATGAGAAGTTGGCAGGTGAAATAACTCTCAAAGAGTTGGCATGAGAAGTTGGCAGGTGAAGTAACTCTCGAAAAGTTGGCGTGAGAAGCTGGCAGGTGAAGTAATTCTCGAAAAGTTGGCACGAGAAGATGGCGCGTGAAGTAACTCTCGAAAAGTTGGCGTGAGAAGCCGGCAGGTGAAGTAACTTTCGAAAAGTTAGCATGAGAAGTTGGCAGGCGAAGTAATTCTCGAAAAGTTGGCGCGAGAAGTTGGCAGGCGAAGAGTTGGCAGGCGATGTTGGCAGGTGAAGTACCTCTCGAAAAGTTGGCATGAGAAGCTGGCAGGTGAAGTAATTTTGCGAAAAGTTGCCACGAGAGGTTGGCAGATAAAGTATTTCTCGAAAAGTTGGCATGAGAAGTTGGCAGGTGAAGTAATTCTCGAAAAGTTGGCAGGTGAAGTTGCCACGAGAGGTTGGCAGGTAAAGTATTTCTCGAAAAGTTGGCATGAGAAGTTGGCAGGTAAAGTAATTCTCGAAAAGTTGACAAGCTCGCAGGTGTAGTAACTCTCAAAAAGTTGGCATGATAAGCTCGCAGGTGAAGTAACTCCTTGAAAAGTTGGCACGAGAAGTTGGCAGGTGAAGTAACTCTCGAAAAGGTGGCATGAGAAGCTGGCAAGTGAAGTAATTCTCGAAGTTTCGGCATGAGAAACTGTCAGGTGAAGTAATTAACCCTCAAAAAGCTGGAGCGGCGGAGGCGGTCCGCGTGCTACATTTGCAATTTACAGTTGCGATTTTCCAGCCATTTGTATCTAAAAGTTGCGATTTTCCAGCCGGAGCTGCGGGCGTACTACGTCTGTACTTAAAAAGTGCGATTTTCCAGCCGGAGCTGCAGCAGCCTCCGCGTACTACGTCTGTACTTAAAAGTTGCGATTTTCCAGCCGGAGCTGCAGGAGCACGCTCCGCGTACTACGTTTGTACTTAAAAGCTGCGATTTTCAAGCCGGAGCTGCCGCGGACCAGGGGGGAATCGAACCCGGGACCGCGGGATTGCGAAAGCAGGCGCGCACACCACGAGACAACTTCCCAAAGCCGTTTCGCGAGCAAGAAAATCGCACGGCGCCACAGCGAGAGCGCTTCGACACGCACGATCTCCGCAGAGGGTTCGTCGGGCTCAAGACAGATGCGCACGGCGCCACAGCGAGAGCGATCCGACACGCAGGATCTCCGCAGAGGGTTCGCCAAGGTCAAGACAAATTCGCACGGCGCCACAGCGAGAGCGCTTCGACACGCACGATCTCCGCAGAGGGTTCGCCGCGAACAAGACAGATTCGCACGGCGCCACAGCGAGAGCGCTTCGACACGCACGATCTCCGCAGAGGGTTCGCCAAGGTCAAGACAAATTCGCACGGCGCCACAGCGAGAGCGCTTCGACACACACGATCTCCGCAGAGGGTTCGCCAAGGTCAAGACAAATTCGCACGGCGCCACAGCGAGAGCGCTTCGACACGCACGATCTCCGCAGAGGGTTCGCCAAGGTCAAGACAAATTCGCACGGCGCCACAGCGAGAGCGCTTCGACACGCACGATCTCCGCAGAGGGTTCGCCAAGGTCAAGACAAATTCGCACGGCGCCACAGCGAGAGCGCTTCGACACGCACGATCTCCGCAGAGGGTTCGCCGCGCTCAAGACAAATTCGCACGGCGCCACAGCGAGAGCGCTTCGACACGCACGATCCCCGCAGAGGGTTCATCGGGCTCAAGACAAATTCGCACGGCGCCACAGCGAGAGCGCTTCGACACGCACGATCTCCGCAGAGGGGTGCGTTTCGTAAGCTCCCGTCGGGCCTACCCCCGCCATAAAAAGAAGAAGAATTAAGAGTCGAGATGTGAAGGTAGAACAGAAAAGTTAGCTTGTGTTTTTAGGATAGTGAAGTAACACCCGACAAATTAGCTTGTGCTTTTAGTAGAATGAGATAACAGCCGAAAAGTTGACATGAGAAGTTGGCAGGTGAAGTAACTCTCAAAAAGTTGACATGAGAAGTAGGCAGGTGAAGTAACTCTCGACAAGTTGGCATGAGAAGTTGGCAGGTGAAGTAACTCTCGACAAGTTGGCATGAGAAGTTGGCAGGTGAAGTAACTCTCGACAAGTTGGCATGAGAAGTTGGCAGGTGAAGTTGGCAGCCGCTTTTAGAAGAAGAACCCTTCGCAATGCTTCCGGGAAAAAAGACTCTTCAAAGCACCACATTGGTGCTACTGGTACCTTAATCGCGAAACGGTGCATCCTTTACGCCGCATAAGGATTAGTGCCAAAATGGGAGGATTGCCCAGCTCCACTGGGCAGCTCCCCTCAGCAGCTGATGGGAGTAGAATTGATGCCACTCCCACAGCGAGGGAGGAATCCTCCCACCTCACCGGATGCCCTCCCGGCATCATGGGTGAGGAAGGAAAGTAGCGAAGATCAGCTTGATCAATTCGCTTTCGACTGAGGGGAAGACCCGGTTCTCAGTCGGAAATTGCGGGTCCGGATGAGTAAGTTCATCCGCCCATGTGTTAAAGTCGCGCTTCACATGCGACGGTCCTAACATGACCTGGTGGTCATGCAGTGTTAACACAATTTCCATGAGGATGGCCGCATTGGGCATCCTGCGAGTGGAATCGTAAGCAGGGAGAAAACGTTTCCCTGGTTATCACTAGCAACCAGAATCCTAGTGTGAGAAGCCGAGCCGGCTGCACAAAGCAGAACAGCCCTCACCAAAAGGAGGAGGCCGAAGAGCTCCAAGGCCGCTATCGCCCGCTGCGGGTCCCCAGTAGTGAAGGCCCACGGCTCGCCCTCCGGTGTGATTCTGTGTTGGAACCACTTCACTCGGGACTTGTCGGGGTTGGGCACGTCCGAGCACCAACCACCAACCCATGCATGGTCCGCCTGTTTGCCAGCTCCCGCATCAGATGCCCCCGTCCATGGAAGTGTGGGAGCAAATGGAGATGCCAGTGGGAACCTCTGGTTGAAGAGCTTCCCCAGAAGGATGGCCAGAGCACGAACCAGCTTCGGTGGCCTGCCCGAAGTGGTGCAGGCCTTCTTCCAGCTCCAAAAGGGCTGGAGGAAAGGTTTCGTCAATGGACACGCCGAAGTAGCCCATTGAATCCGGCCCAGGGCTTGTTCCACCTCCTTGCTGGTAAAGATGTCCCCCTGGGCCAGCCGTTTGAGAGTGGCCAGGATTATGACGTGCTTGACTGGAGCCAGCAGCACACAGGGCGTGATTGGGTCCACCACGAATCCCAACCAGGTATTGACCGGGGAGAGCGCCGTCTTCTTCCAAGAAAGCGGGACTCCCAGCGCCAGAAGAGTGGCCAGGATGGCTGTGGCGTCCCAGTCCGCCCTGCTGCATCTGAGGACCCAGCAGTAGTCGTCCACAAAAACTAAGTGCCAGTCCACCTGAGGGAAGATGTAGTACAAGAGTCTGAGCACCAAGGATGCCTTTCTTCCCCAGTACAGTTGTGCCGAGGCCATGCCGTACGTGCCCACTCTATTGACCCACCACCGGTTCTGGATGCAGGCCACCTGGTATTTCCAGTCTTTCTGGAGCACTTTTATGCGCCTGTGGGCCTTGGTGACATCCGCCTTGAGGATGATGAAGGTTTCCCCCTGTGTCGGCGGCTGCCACGTCAGGGGTTCCCCCCTGCTCCCCCCAGGGCGTTCCGTGCCTGGGGGGGTTGGCTGTGGGGTCCCTCTCAGGGCCCTCGGCACCTGGGGACTGCCCCTGCACCGGCTGGTGAACATCCCGAGGTTCCTCATCAGTGCCCGAAGATGGGGCTCGGAGTAGATGAGGATGGTCCGCCGCTGTCCTGAGCCAGTGGATGGCATGGACCATCGGTGCGGTGGTCTTCTCCTCCGTGTGAGCCTGGATGTGTGCGTTTGCTCCCCCTTTTGAGCCATCATAGATCGTCCTGATCTTGTCCGACTCATCAATCCCTGCAAGGGGGCCCGGGCAAAGTTCCTCCGGTTTGCAGCGGCACCTCTCTGCCGCCTCGGAGCGAGTGAAGGGCCCGTCCACCATGTCCAAGGCTCGTTCCTCGTAAAAGGTTGATTCGATTTCCTTGGCAAAGAGTTCAGCCGTTGGGTAGTTATCATGAGCCACTGGCGGGGGGGGATCTTCCCCCAGCCAGGCTTCTCCCTTAAGCTCCTCCTTAGTGGGCCAAACTCCCGGGGAGGTCAAGGTAGGGTCCGAGACTCCCAAGGGGACCCCCTCTTTCAGTGTTAGGGGGAACTCCCAATCAGGGTCACCTGAAAGGGATGCCAAGTGCGACACTAAGTCCAGGAGGAAGGGTTGTCCTGGGCATCGTTCATGGAGGTGCCCTCCTAGGATAGCCCGCAGCTCCTCGAGGTCGGCTTCCTGGAAGGGGTGTGTGGTGGCACCTGATGCCAGGGACATTCGGACCTTGTCAATCCAGGGCCGGGTAAGGGTCATGATCAGGGCGCCCAAAGTAGCCAATGGGGAAATTCTCCGAAAAGGGGGGTTGAGCCTCCCTGGGGAAGGTTTTCCCCCCCCATCCCTCAGGGGGCGTGAGCGGAAACCCAATTGGACAATCGCCACCCGGTCAGTGAGGTGTGGGACCCTGAAAGCGGGCAGGCATTCGGGGCGGTCCAGGACCTGGTCCCCCTGTCCCTCCTTCCCCAGTTGTTCCGCATCTCCGGCCATCGGGGGCATGGGAGATGGGAAGTCTGGGTTCATTGTTCCA